ATAAAAGCACAACGATCCATGTCGTTATCGATTCTTTCTGATGTAACAATTGTTTACAAAGAAGGGCTAATAAAAAAATAGTAGGTACGTTGCCCACTATGAGGTAATTAAAAGCGAAGAAAGAAAAACAACTGATATATAACATGATACGTTCTAGCTAATCGAGACTGTTTTGAATGCATTTTGATTCGATCATACACCATAGGTAATAATTACTCAAAAGATATGAATAATGACAGACAAAAGATCTTCACGAACTGTTGCTGAGAGTAGTAGTTAGTTTGATTAAATTACTTTGCAAAGAGTAAAAAAAGTTATTCCATCGTGAGAAAAGTACCATGATTTTACCTTCTTCCTCTTGATTGTCTTCCAAATCGAGAAGTTCCACAACGTTTGAGACTAGGTATGGAAGTGTTTTATTTACCTAAATTGATTTTGAAATTGCAAAAAATAGACAGAAGGCTGGGTAACCGGTTTACCTTGATTCGTTCATTGTTCTCCTTGATGCGTTCCTTCAAAGTAGAAACGGAGTGATTGATTCGTTGCACTTCGCTTCTCATTATGCGTATCTCATTATCCAGCAAGTGAGTTCGGCTTTTGAGATCCTCAGGAGCCATACGAAGGATCTCCTCGTCGAGAGCCTAGATATGCGAAAAACACTTATTATACCGTATTTGGGCGGGTTGGGCCCTTACTTCTTCGACTTCCATCTTTTCTGGGGCAGCAGCGGCCGGCGTTGTATCACCCTTTGAAGGTGTATTTTTTTGAGATGTGGACATTCTAAAGCATATTAGATAGATGCTAATCCTGGACTCAAAGAAAATTATTGAGATTTGCGACTTGGAAACATCAACCGCAAGTAGCAAAGAAAGAATAAACGTAATTAAAACTAGGAAAACGAGATGCAACATCTTTTAGCTTTGAAGTATCCACCCCTATGGGGACATTCCTCATAAGGGAAAAAAACGATGGTGTCTAGATTGCAAAGTTCTGTGCATATGTAAAGACTATTATAGGATTTATAAGCGCATTATGATTTGGGATGCTCTATATTAGACCAAAATAAAGCTCTTGCAGAAACTTTCTCTTATGAACGCGGCAAGATATTAAGAAGCACTTGACGGTGTCAAGATGATGACTCATTTACTTTTCTCACACAGGATGACCCATGTAGCACGAAGAAAACCTGTTTTATAGATAAAGGAATAGAAAAATATGAGCAGAAAAGGTAAATGCCACTATTAATCTATTGCAAAGCTTTATTTCAAAATAAGAAACAACACGGAAATGTACACAATCCTAATGGATTCAAATGAAAGAAATGAAATAATAGCATATGATAAGCCAAAACTCATAAACAATAATAACAATTTAGACGAACATTATGGAATGCAAAAGATGACAAAATTGAGTGCATTTGCGGAACAATTGATTTGACGACAGGAGAGAGTCTGAAAATTGAGCTTACGGGGGAGGGATGCTTTTTGCCGGTGGCCTTTCAACTGCCATATGCGGCTCAATGTAAAGATTTAAGATAGATTTCAATCTACCTTAAATATCTGCTAAACTATTCATAGAAAGAGTTCTATGATTTCCTTTTTGCGGAAAAAATCTGTCATTAATGACCTAAGGGTATCTCCATACTTTATAAGGATCGGCCGATTCAGATCGACCGACCCTTATAACGCTTATAAGCGCAATAAGAATCGGCCGATCG